GTCCAGCAGGTCCTTGCGCGGCGTCATCGTCCAAGCAGCGCCTGTGTCCAACACCCAATAGTCTAGGGGGTGCAGCTCTGCTCCAACTTTGGCAGAGGCGTCTCCTTGCTCCCCCTTGTCTCCCACATGGAAGAATTGGCCCGCGGTGCGCTCCTTCTTCTTCTCCGCACCGCCGTTGCCCTTCGGGTTGTTGTCGGACGAATCAGCGACCATGTTGGCGCCGTTTTTCTGGTTCCTCCGCGCGCCGCCATCCTGGTGACGATTCTGGGGGGTCCATCCATCGGGTTTCTTATAGCACAAAAACCAGGGGTGCCCTTCCTTCTCACAATACCAGCAACTCCCTTTCATTTTGCCACCAGCACCCGACTTGCCCCCACGTCCAGATTTCGCACCGCGACCCCAACCGGTACCTCCTTGTTGGTCGTTGGAGTCGTCGTCTTTCTTTGCACCGCGTCCAGCACCACCGAAGCCACGTCCTCTGCCACGTCGGCTCCCTTGCATCCCGTAGCCGCTGCTGCCGTCGTCTCCACCCCTCAGTTGGCGGCGACGGAAGTCCTCCTCCAGAATCTTCGTCCGCACCCACTCGAGCGTCCACAAGCTCTGGTTCTGCGGCAGGCTCAATCCGCTCGTAAATTGAAGCCACGATTCTGGCAGCAGCGAGAGCATCTTCAAGCACTTGGTCTGCTCCGGGTAGGTGATTCCCGCGGTCGCCAACTTCGCGTAGAGGTCGCGCATCTTGTCCAGGACTGGTTGCACCGGCTCTCCCTCGCTCAGGCGCAACGCGGACAGCTCCCTCTCCAGCATCAACGTTGCGACAACGGAGGTCGGGGCGTGCAGCTCCTTCAACACGGTCCACGCCTTCGGACCGCATTCAACCTCCGGCAGCAGATGCATGACGTGGTGACGCTGGTTCAGCTCCAAACTCTGCGACATCAGATAGTAGCCAGCCGAGGAGCGCTCGTCCCAATCTTCCTGAAGGGCGGGGTCACTCGGTCTAGGCTCCTCCCCAATCATTAGTTTCAGCAAACCGATCTGACGGAAATACAATTGCATTTTCCAGGCCCAGTCATCATAGCCCTCACCATTGAACTTCTCGACGGTGAAATTCATAAGTACCTTCTTGATGAGCGAGCTCTGGTTGGTTCGCGCTCCCCTTGGCGCTGAAAGACCAGAATCTTGGCTGCCGCTACGATCTTGGGCTGAAGATTCACCAGCTCCCGCCGAGGTGTTGCCCGCCATAGCTACCTATAACGAGGATCACTATAACGCAGCTCTGATACCAGCTTGTTGGTGTAAGGGCCTAATAAACTCAAGCTATTAGGACTTAATCAAACTTAAAACCTCTCCTCGGGGTCACCTCCAAGGGTCCCTGGGTGCCTGGTACAAGACCAGCCCCTATCCTCGGGTCCGAGTTTGTAGAGAGAGGGATCAAGAAGGACTTAGTCAAAACAGCAAGAGTACCTTGAACGTCGCGCAGCGTGCCGTGCAGACCGTCGGTCGGATTAAGCTGAGAATTCGCTATGTCGAAGCTCGCTCCAAGAGCTTTAAAATGAGCCAAGTTGCCTCGCGAAAAGTTCTGCCATTACGAAGTTATGGCTCGGACAGCGTTTGCCTAGCGTTGGAGTGCTAGCATACTAGCGTTGACTCGGGTAGCATTCCGCCGTCGAATAGCGCAGAAACGAAATTCCAGCGAGGAAGGAATTCGCTTGAATCAATTGACTATATTCAGGTACAAACAGAGAAGGATTAAATAGTTCTAGCTAGCAAGGACCTTGGGAATCAACCTGGGAACAACCAGGGATGATCCCAAATAATTCCAAGCAACAGAACCAACCTGGCTGGACAAAATAGCAGGTGGTAGGTTGGTAAACAACCTCTGGTTCTGTTTTTCCAACCTGGGAAAACAACAACCAGGTTCAGGTTCTAAAAACAGAACCTGTTTTGTCTTTGCCCAACCAGCCAAATGCTGGTTCCGCTGGTTTCCCCTGGCCTTGTAGCATGCAGATACAGACAAACAACATCCAACCTTCACCTAAATTGTACCCCTATAGTGCCTTCCCTGCTACACTATAGTTAACCAAACAAAACAGTACAATTTCGAGTTGGATAGAACTGAATCTGCGCAATCAACTCAACCGAACTGCAAAGCTTCCATCTTGGGTTCCTTTGCGAGCTCGTCCTTTCTGCTTGCACTGTTCATAGCGCGTACAATGTTGTGCCGAAGCGCACATTGCGCGAGTACCTGCAAATGCATCAAGCGAAAATTGCGAAAACAAACAAACACACGAACACACCATTCACACGCAAATGCATTCGCACACGCATACTCGTACAAACAGACGGCAGGATGTCGTGCAATGTGCATTTGCACGATACCTATAACAAGGATCACTATAACGCAGCTCTGATACCAGCTTGTTGGTGTAAGGGCCTAATAAACTCAAGCTATTAGGACTTAATCAAACATAAAACCTCTCCTCGGGGTCACCTCCAAGGGTCCCTGGGTGCCTGGTACAAGACCAGCCCCTATCCTCGGGTCCGAGTTTGTAGAGAGAGGGATCAAGAAGGACTTAGTCAAAACAGCAAGAGCACCTTGAACGTCGCGCAGCGTGCCGTGCAGATCGTCGATCGGATTAAGCTGAGAATTCGCTATATCGAAGCTCGCTCCAAGAGCTTTAAAATGAGCCAAGTTGCCTCGCGAAAAGTTCTGCCATTACGAAGTTATGGCTCAGACGGTGTTTGCCTAGCATTAGAGTGCTAGCGTACTAGCGTTGACTCGGGTAGCATTCCGCCAACGAACCGCGTAGAAACGAAATTCCAGCGAGGAAGGAATTCACATGAATCAATTTGACTATATTCAGGTACAAACAGAGAAGGATTAAATAGTTCTAGCTAGCAAGGACCTTGGGAATCAACCTGGGAACAACCAGGGATGATCCCAAATAATTCCAAGCAACAGAACCAACCTGGCTGGACAAAATAGCAGGTGGTAGGTTGGTAAACAACCTCTGGTTCTGTTTTTCCAACCTGGGAAAACAACAACCAGGTTCAGGTTCTAAAAACAGAACCTGTTTTGTCTTTGCCCAACCAGCCAAATGCTGGTTCTGCTGGTTTCCCCTGGCCTTGTAGCATGCAGATACAGACAAACAACATCCAACCTTCACCTAAATTGTACCCCTATAGTGCCTTCCCTGCTACACTATAGTTAACCAAACAAAACAGTACAATTTCGAGTTGGATAGAACTGAATCTGTGCAATCAACTCAACCGAACTGCAAAGCTTCCATCTTGGGTTCCTTTGCGAGCTCGTCCTTTCTGCTTGCACTGTTCATAGCGCGTACAATGTTGTGCCGAAGCGCACATTGCGCGAGTACCTGCAAATGCATCAAGCGAAAAATGCGAAAGCAAACAAACACACGAACACACCATTCACACACAAATGCATTCGCACACGCATACTTGTACAAACAGACGGCAGGATGTCGTGCAATGTGCATTTGCACCCAACAGATTTGGATCAAGCATTCGCATAGTGAGTCGTCGTACCTCCGTACATATCCTACTGGCCATCCGTTGCCTTGGTGAAATTCAAGCAAACTATTACTAGGAAATGAGATTGAACAGTATTACTATGAAGCAAGCAAGTCGACACAGCACGGAATGCACTGCAAACCTAGCAAGAAGTCTGCAAGGCAACCTGCCAGCATAGCAGAAGAGCGGCTCACAAACGATGCGTCAATGCGACCTGCTAGCGTTGTAGTAAGGCGAACTGCCAGCGTTGCAGCAAGGCGAACTGCCAACGTTGCACCCAAGGCGATCTACCATCGCCGTTGTTGTGGTTGTCATCGTCCTCGTTGTCATCGCTTTTATTATCGTCGTTACAGTCGTAGTCGTTGCTATTGTTGTCACCGTCGTTGTCTTCGTTCGTGTTATTATCGTTGTTGTCGCTGTCGTCCTTGTTGTCGTCGTTGTTGTCGCAATCGTAATCGTTTTCGTTATCGTTGGCGCTGTCATCATCAACGTCGTCGTTGCCGTCGCCATCATCGCGCCATCGTCGTCGCCGCCACCGCCGTCGTCGTCCCGGCTATTGTTGCTGCTGCTGCTGTTGTTGTTGCTGCTGTTGCTTCTGTTGTTGTGCTTGTTCATGTTGTTTTTGCTGTTCTTGTTTCTGTTGCTGTTGCTGTTGCTCTTGCTCGCTCCTGCTGCTGCTGCTGTTGCTGCTGTTGTTATCGTTGTTGCTACTGCTTTTGTTGTTGCTGTTTTTGATGCTGTTGTTGCTGTTTCTGCTATTGCTCTACTGTTGATGTTGCTGTTGTTGTTGTTGTTGCTATTGTTGCTGTTGCTGTTGTCATCGTTGTCTTCGTCGTCTTCGTCGTCGTCGTCGTCGTCGTCCTCGTCGTCGTTGTTGTTGTTGTTGTTGTTGTTGTTGTTGTTGTTGTTGTTGTTGTTGTTGTTGTTGTTGTTGTTGTTGTTGTTGTTGTTGTTGTTGTTGTTGTTGTTGTTGTTGTTGTTGTTGTTGTTGTTGTTGTTGTTGGTGTTGTTGTTGTTGTTGTTGTTGTTGTTGTTGTTGTTGTTGTTGTTGTTGTTGTTGTTGTTGATGTTGTTGTTGTTGATGTTGTTGTTGTTGTTGTTGTTGTTGTTGTTGTTGTTGTTGTTGTTGTTGTTGTTGTTGTTGTTGTTGTTGTTGTTGTTGTTGTTGTTGTTGTACTTGACCAATGAACTTAGTTTCAGGTGATGATGTGGGGCTTTAGGATTGGATTACCAATATCGACACCACACGCCAGCTTCCGCGCAAACGCCAAAAAAAACAGGCGGGCAATTTACGGGCCCCAAACGCCTACAAAGCAGCCTGCATACAGCCCGCCAATTTAAAGCCATAAACCCGCCATATGCATGGAGATTATGGCTGTAAATTGCCATTTTCAAGAGCCACTTTTTTTAGATGAGGTCAGTACCACCATGCATGGCGTGATTGATTTGCATAAGAGGCCTCTTTTGGCATGCTCTGTGCCATGCCATATGCTGCAAGTACCCCTCGCTCACTGCTTTTTCCCTTCACCCTCCCTGTCCTCCTGGTCTCTTCCTCCTCCTGTTTTTCGCTCCTCACACCGTCCCTCCTATCCCCCACCGTCCCTACTTCCCCCCACCGTCCCTCCTTTCCCCTACCGTCCCTCTTTCCTCCCACCGCTCCGTCCTTCTTCGACCTCCTCGTTCCGCCCTGCCTTGCCACACCCGCCTACCAAGAAACATCTGCCAGCCCTCTCACCCGTGCACATGCAGCCCCTCTCACCCGTGCACAGGAAGCCCCTCTCACCCGTGCACAGGCAGCCTCTATCACCCGTGCACAGGCAGCCCCTCTCACCCGTGCATGGGCAGCCTCTCTCACCCGTGCACAGGCAGCCCCTCTCACCCGTGCACAGGCAGCCCCTCTCACCCGTGCAGAGGCAGCCCCTCTCACCCATACACAGGCAGCCCCTCTCACCCGTGCACAGGCAGCCCCTCTCACCCGTGCACAGGCAGCCCCTCTAACCCGTACACAGGCAGCCCCTCTCACCCGTGCACAGGCAGCCCCTCTCACCCGTGCACAGACAGTCCCTCTCACCCATGCACAGGCAGCCCCTCTCACCTATGCACAGGCAGCCCCTCTATCATATCGTTACCCCACTCCGCCATTCTCGCCCGTTTGCCTTACCCCTCGTATGTGTTGCCTGGCAACACCTGACATCGCTCTCCGCGTACGCACAGGCCATGAGAGGGAAGACACAGGAGGTGAATACACTAATGCGTGGGCTGTGGAAAACGCATGTCTTGGTTGGACAAGAATCTTGAAAGAGTAGAGGAGGAACAGGGGGAGGAGGAGGGGAATAGAGAGGAGGAGGAGCAAGAGAGAGAGGAAGAAGAGGAGCAGGAGGGAGTGTTGGTGTAAGGGCCAAATAAACTCAAGCTATTAAAACTTCATCAAACTTAAAACCTCTCCTCAGGGTCACCTCCAAGGGTCCCTTGGTGCCTGGTACAAGACCAGCCCCTATTCTCGGGTCCGAGTTTGTAGAGAGAGGAGTCAAGAATGACTTAGCCAAAATAACAAGAGTACCTTGAACGTCGCGCAGTGTGCCGTGCAGACCGTCGATCGGATAAAGCTGAGAATTCGTTATATCGAAGCTCGCTCCAAGAGCTTTAAAATAAGCCATGCGAAAAGTCCTGCCGCTACGAATTTATGGCTCGGACAGCGTTTGCCTAGCGTTGAAGTGCTAGCGTACTAGCGTTGACTCAGGTAGCATCCCGTCGTCGAATAGCGCAGAAACGAAATTCCAGCGAGGAAGGAATTCGCTTGAATCAATTGACAATATGAAGGAATAAGTAGTTCTAGCTAGTAAGGACCTTGGGAATCAACCTGGGAACAATCAGGGATGATCCCAAATAATTCCAAGCAACAGAACCAACCTGGCTGGACAAAATAGCAGGTGGTAGGTAACACCTCTGGTGATTAATAGCTGGTGAATAATAGCTGGTGATGAACAACCTCTGGTTCTGTTTTTCCAACCTGGGAAAACAACAACCAGGTTCAGGTTCTAAAAACAGAACCTGTTTTGTCTTTGCCCAACCAGCCAAATGCTGGTTCCGCTGGTTTCTCCTGGCCCTGTAGCATGCAGATACAGATAAACAACATCCAACCTTCACCTAAATTGTACCCCCATAGTCTCTGCCCTGCTACACTATAGTCAACCAAACAAAACAGTACAATTTCGAGTTGGATAGAACAGAATATGCGAATCAATTAAACCGAACTGCAAAGCTTCCATCTTGGGTTCCTTTGCGAGCTCAACCCTTCCGCTTGCACTGTTCATAGCGCGTACAATGTCGTGCCGAAGCGCACATTGCGCAAGTACCTGCAAATGCATCAAGCGAAAATTGCGAAAGCAAACAAATACACGAACATTCCATTCACACCCAAATGCATTCACATGCGCATACTCGTAAAAACAGACGGCAGGATGTCGTTCAATATGAATTTGCACCCAATAGAGAGGAGGAGGAGGAGCAGGAGAGAGAGGAGGAGGAGGAAGGGGGGGGGGGGTGTTGGGTGCAAATGCACATTGCACGACATCCTGCCGTCTGTTTGTACGAGTATGCGTGTGCGAATGCGTGTGAATGGTGTGTTCGTGTGTTTGTTTGCTTTCGCATTTTTCACTTGATGCATTTGCAGGTACTCGCGCAATGTGCGCTTCGGCACAACATTGTACGCGCTATGAACAGTGCAAGCAGAAAGGACGAGCTCGCAAAGGAACCCAAGATGGAAGCTTTGCAGTTCGGTTGAGTTGATTGCGCAGATTCAGTTCTATCCAACTCGAAATTGTACTGTTTTGTTTGGTTAACTATAGTGTAGCAGGGAAGGCACTATAGGGGTACAATTTAGGTAAAGGTTGGATGTTGTTTGTCTGTATCTGCATGCTACAAGGCCAGGGGAAACCAGCGGAACCAGCATTTGGCTGGTTGGGCAAAGACAAAACAGGTTCTGTTTTTAGAACCTGAACCTGGTTGTTGTTTTCCCAGGTTGGAAAAACAGAACCAGAGGTTGTTTACCAACCTACCACCTGCTATTTTGTCCAGCCAGGTTGGTTCTGTTGCTTGGAATTATTTGGGATCATCCCTGGTTGTTCCCAAGTTGATTCCCAAGGTCCTTGCTAGCTAGAACTATTTAATCCTTCTCTGTTTGTACGTGAATATAGTCAAATTGATTCAAGCGAATTCCTTCCTCGCTGGAATTTCGTTTCTGCGCTATTCGACGGCGGAATGCTACCCGAGTCAACGCTAGTATGCTAGCACTCCAACGCTAGGCAAACGCTGTCCGAGCCATAACTTAGTAATGGCAGAACTTTTCGCGAGGCAACTTGGCTCATTTTAAAGCTCTTAGAGCGAGCTTCGATATAGCAAGTTCTCAGCTTAATCCGATCGACGGTCTGCACGGCACGCTGCACGACGTTCAAGGTACTCTTGCTGTTTTGACTAAGTCCTTCTTGATCCCTCTCTCTACAAACTCGGACCCGAGGATAGGGGCTGGTCTTGTACCAGGCACCCAGGGACCCTTGGAGGTGACCCCGAGGAGAGGTTTTAAGTTTGATTAAGTCCTAATAGCTTGAGTTTATTAGGCCCTTACACCAACAGGGGGAAGGGCAGGAGGGGCAGGAGATGGGAATCGTAACAAGGTTCAACACGGGCGAGAAGATGGACGGTGGGGATAAAGCTGTGCATCGAAATCCAAAGAAAGAAATTGGAGAAGACTTACCTGAAAGGCGAGGGGAAGGGAGAGGGAGAGAGCGAGGGGAAGGGCAAGAGGGAGGGTGAGAAGGAGGGCGAGGGGAAGCGGTGGAAGAGGAGAAGGAGGGGGAAGGAGATTATGTAACGGAAGAAAGGGGAGAGAACTATGCTCAGGTTCAGGTGAGAAGCGAAACTGGAGTGCCTTCCATATTTCCTTTCATTCCCTCCGATTCCACAGTCACTCCATCGGTTTGTCCAACCTCTTTTCTCCTCTTATTCTTCTCTCATGAGTTCACTTTTTCCCTTCCTGTTCCATTGCACTCCTCCCTTCTCCTCCTCGCAGCTGGATATTCCACAAGGTGCACATGAGGCGAACATAGGGGATGCAGGGTTGGACATCAAAAGGGTATCAGGGCAGGCGGTTGCACATGAGAGGGGGGGACAATCTCGGATGCCAAAATCACCAGCAGCACAGGCCGTGACAGAGGAAACGATGAAGGCAGCAGCACAGGCGGGGATCAACTCGCTGCTGCACTCTCTGCTAAAAGACGAGCAGGCGTGTGCCAGTGCCCTGATCGACAATGTCATCTTTTTCCTCTCTCCCCAGATATGGTTTCAAAGACCTAGGCGACCACCTCCTCCACTTCCTCGTTGCCCTCACTCCCTACTGCCGCCCTGACCTTCCTCCCACTCTCACCGCACTCACTCTTTGCGGCCTCCCCTCTGTGTCTGCTCGCAACATGGACTGCATTCTCCGCTTGCCCTCCCTCACCTCGCTCACCCTCCAGTGAATGCCCATCACGCTAGAAGCTGCGCAGCTGCTGCGCTCTGCTTGCCTCCTCAAGCTCATTTTCGACGACCCCGGATACCCCAACCTGGTCTTTGGGCGCCTCTATCAAAGCCTGCAGGGCTGCACGAGAATCTGCTATTTTGGAATCTGAGGGAGCTGCATCTGAGTGGGGTTACTGACTTGATTCTGCAGCAGGTCGGCTTGCTGGTGAGCCTTGAGGCCTTTTCCTGCACGTGCAGCGAGGGAGTGACCCTCCACCGATGGATGAACCTCAGTAAGCTCACCGCTATGAGAACCCTACAGGTGGAACCTGAACGCATATATAGTCATGGCTTGTCACTCAAGCATGCCAGCAATTGCCTCCCAGAGGTTACTAAGTTCTTTCACCACAGCTCATCGGCGGACACGGCTATACGCGCAAGCGATTCTCGCAGTTGTGTGGGTGGTAGCCTGTGGGATTTGCTGCCTGGGCTGCAGCGCTTGGAGCACCTCACCTTGCACGTGGTGGAGCGCGGGGAGCAATTCTGGCAGTCCCTATGCCAGCTCAAGCTGCTCCGGACACTCCATATTAGCAGCAGTGCCCTGGGCGATTCAAACTGGTTGCCCTCATTGACTTGCTTGAGCGACGCCACACTGGTAGGCTGTACATTTCATGCTGATGTAGCTGTCCTCTCATTTAGCGAGGTGGTCTCTCTAGACCTATCCGGGTTATCCATCAGCTGTGACGGTGCCAAGGTTCTGAGGTCCTTCAGACGCCTGCAGTGCTTGAAGTTGCAGCAGTGTGTGAAAATTCGCCAGGCTTTTGTGCAGTATGTGAGTGAAGTGCCGTAGCTGAGGACGCTGGATCTGAGCTTCAACTCCCTGCATCCTACGTGGCTGCGTCCTGTTCTGGAGGGAAGACGAGTGACGAGGCTGCTTGTGCGAGGGTGTTTTACACATAGGCAGGGGGAACGGCTTCAGCGTCCTTGGATTGTTGTGGAGGCGAGGTGAATGGAACTGTTCATTTCCTATGGGATATGGTGCACGCATAATATCTGATACATGGCATGTGTTGCTTGTGCAACATCTGCTGCATGCAATTGGCATATAATGCATGCGACCAAATCCATGTGTTGCACTGCAGATGTTGCATATTATATGCTGCATCACTTGTGCTGCATGGATGTATGGCATGGCATGTGCTGTGCGGCATTTGATACATGACATTCTATGTTGGTTTATCATGCAGCTTTATATCTTCTACTATGTATACAGTAGCTTCTGTTTGGGCTAACTCATGTAAATTTAACAGAGTCCATAAAATAACTGAAAATTCCACCAGAAAATACGGTATGGTACTGTATTCATTCATTGGTTGTTTAATGTACCGATATGAAAAAGATGCACCACAACATACCGTATTTGTTCTTCGGTTATTCAATATACTGGTATGAAAAAAAAAACGCAGTCATTGAGCTACATTATTGTACAAGTATATAACCATCTTCTGCAAGTGGGGACCATATAATTTGTACAAGATTACTCTTCCACAATAGTTATCACTTCGAAATCGCACCCCACTACACTCAATTGGTTCCTGCTAAATGGTCTTAGAAGAAGGGACGTGGTAAGAACCTACCTATCAGGCTATAAAGTGGTGTCCTTCAGGTGTGCCCCTCAGGTGCCACCTCAAGTGCCTCTCAGGTGTGGCTGTCACACATGAAACTCGTGCAGCACGTTGCCATGCGCAGGCCGTCCCCCCAGGACTCTTGCGCGCATCAAGGTTGAAGAGCGCGCTGTGCAGCGTATGGA